GAGAATTCGTCCGTTGTTTTATAAATGGGAACGAAATTTAAGCCCTTACTAAGGGCGGATTTTTCTGGATCAGAAAGTGAGAGGTTTTCTGGAATGGTAACTACAGTTTTGAGGTTTTCTGGTGATGAGTGGTAAGCGATTTGGGGACCGATAAGTTGGTCAAGTTTTTGGGCCTTAATTTGGTTCAAATGATTGAAAAGTTTCGAATTGGTCTCCTGAATTTTTGGATAGATTGTAATAAAACTGCTGGACAGATTTTGGAAAGTTCAGAGCGGCAATATAGGATCTGTTCGGTGAGATGATTACGTTTTTGGCACATAGCTCTAATGGTAATTCTCATGATGTTACGTGGAAAAGAATTGTGGGCGCACTTAATTTGGTGATGGTGTTGTTTGGTGAATGAAGATGCATGAAAATTGGAGCGGAAACCATTGGGAATAACTTTAGAATGAAGGAAACGACCGATGAAGTTTATGTGGCTACAAAACCTAGTTTTGGCGAAAGTGAGAATGGCTAAACGGAATGCTAGATCTTTACTGATAAGGGGAAAAGGGAAGAGATAACTTACGATTTCCTGACGTAGCTCCTTTTTTATCTCACAAGAACGCATCAGTCTCGGAGGCGGACCGCTTTAGGAAAACAACATCAGCCCATTGCAAACAATACGGCCTTTCAATCTCCATAAACACCAACCTAAAAACAGTCAACTTCCTCGACGTCTCACTAAACCTAACGAAAGGAACATACTTCCCTTACAGAAAACCCAACAACGATCCCCTCTATGTCCATGTTAAGTCCAACCATCCCCCTTCCATCGTCGAGCACCTTCCACAGTCTATTAACTGGCGTATCTGTGACCTCTCCTGCAACGAGAAATGGTGCAAAAAGATCTATATCATGTTATATCAAGCGGATATAACATCCATCTCTTCTACTTCAAGCCAGCCACACCTTCACCCCCTAGTTCCCGTGACCGCTCAAAAAAAATAAGAAGACAGATAATCTGGTTCAATCCCCCCTTCAGCAAAAACGTCCAAACTAACGTCGTAAAACTTTCCTTACACTTGTTCAGAAGCACTTCCCCATCTCTCACAAATACCACAAAACATTTTAACAAAAACACCACCAAAGTCAGCTACAGTTGTATGGACAACATGGATTCTATTATAAGGAGGCACAATCAGAAAATCCTAAACCCRCCGTCCACCAGCCAAGACCGCAAGTGCAACTGCAGAGTAAAACAAGCCTGTCCCTAACAGAACAACTGCCTCGCTTCCTCCTTAATTTACAAGGCTAAAGTCACCACAAACAAAGACCAAACGGGGAAAAACTACATTGGCCTAACAGAAAATTCTCTTAAACAAAGATACACGCAGCATTCCCTCTCATTCCGAAAGAAAGCCTACGCTAACAGCACCGAGCTATCCAAATATATTTGGGAACTTAAGAGCACCAACACTCCCTACTCCATCCATTGGTCGAAAATCCACAAAGCCACATCTTACAAAGGAAATTCAAGAACATGCAACCTCTGCCTTGCCGAAAAATTCCTCATTATCACCAAGGACAAATCCACTTCATTAAGCAAACGATCAGAACTAATTTCCAAGTGCCGCCATGAAAGCAAGTTCTACTTGCGAAACCACTTGAAACAGTCCTTTTGTCTTCTTAATTGCTTCCTATCATTTTAACTATAATTTCTATTTATAAATTGACTTTATAGCACGGTATATTTTCCATCGATAATAAACCGTCTGACGATCGCAGCACAAGCTGCGTGAAACTCAGAGTAATGGTGAAATGATCTTCCTGATAACAGTGCTCAATAGTTGGACTAGAGCAGTAGATATTATCAGCAACGAATTGGGTTATTTGGTCCAAGACATTTAATTGCTACTCAGAGTTTCATGCTCCATCAGGAGCAATCATCAGGCAACTGCCTGAGAAACGGTTACATTCAAAGTTATTTGAAAAAAACCGTTACATTCAAAGTTTAGAAAAAACGTGTGGCGCGCGCTACGTGAGGCGCGCGCTAATAATGTGATGACATTTTTAGCAGAAATTTCCTAGAGTGTCTACAGGATGATGCTAATTCATTTCGGTTGTTTAAGGTTGACATTTCGGGCTTACAAAAAATAAAATACTTCTCCCACAAACACAAATTACAATTCCTGGGGACGTTTGAGTAAGATCTTGCCCGTTTTACTTTGCGCCATTTAATGTTGTACTCAATGTTTCGGTCTTTCAGGTTCCAAATATGCTTACTGAGCTCAGTTGCGTTTCTATAACGTTCATTACGGAATGAGGAAATGAGGTTTCGATATCTTAATTTGAATGGAGTATCAAAAAGTCCGATATACGTTTTCCTTGTTGTTTGTGTGGTTACTTCGGCTTGGTATATTATGTTCTCCACGCTGCAGCTATCATCCATGAGGCACGTGTCCGGTGTACGGTAGTTACGGTTTTTGTTATTTCCTTCAGCGACTGTGGATTCTCTTATTTCGGCTTTGTTGTGGCTGGAGATGATCGATTTAACGTTATTCACGCAGCCTTAGTTTAATTTAACAGTGTTCCGATTGAAAATTTTATGTAGCGGATCAGATTTGGGGAAGTGATGGTCGATTAGAGAAAGAAAGCATTTTCCAACATTTGTTTCAACGTTTCTGCTATACGGCGGGTTGTGCCATTGAATGTTCCTTCGTTTGTTTTCTCCGCGGGCTTGATGTCCGGCTGATTGACACGTTATACGTTAGTTTGTAACGGTAGCCGCTTTTATTAAGGGCTTCTTGGTACACGTGCTTGGCATCATCGAGGCATTCTTTGTCGGACGAAATCTCTGACAGCCTCTTGTTTACGGATTCAGGGATGTTTCTCAGGATTGACGGTGGATGGTTGGAGTTTTTGTGCACATAGAGTGGGATGTTCGCTTCTTTCGTAAATGGATAATGTTTACCGTCTCGGAGGTCAAGCGTGACATCTAGAATGTTAACCATAGTCGTGTTGGCCTCCACTGTGATCTTTAAATCGTTCGTACGGAAGATTTTGCACAGCTCCTTCTTGATCTTCTCAATTTCTTGGGGATTCTCATTTGGGGCTGCTAATCCGTCATCGCGGTATAAGCCTATGTTTCTCCCTTATTTTTTCGTGAGGATGGACACCTTTTGTCCATCCTCACGAAAAAATACTTTGGGGTGAAAAAAATAAAGTTTCTGTTGTTGTTGTTGTTGTTGTTACTAATGTTACCATAATATTACAATAATTTAATGTAGGCTTGGTAACTGAAAAACTGAGCTTGGGAGCTCCAATAAAAGTATGTATGTATGTTTTTATGCATGTATGCACGTCCTATCAAACAAGTACTGTCGTTGTTCGATCCTGTCGACCCTATTGCTCACGCTCTGTCCAGCCCACTTTTCTCTATCCTCCCCCTTTGGCCGGGTACGCAGGCTTAAACAAATTATGCCAGTGAGGTGCTAATATATATGCTGGACTGGTTACGCTACATCTTTAAACCTGTTTAAACCTGTTTAAACTCTGTGGTGAAAGCCACAGGCCGATGGCGAGTCCGACTAAATATGAAGAAATACCATTAATTCGCTCTTTTTTACCCTGTGCATTTAATTGCAGACACGTTGCTGTCCAAATAGCATAACGCAGAACCCAAAAACGAAGAGACCCAATGGCCTTATAAGGGCATTACTCGTACATTTACATAATCGATGGCTGGTATGTACATACATGTTTGATACCCATAAAGCTTTGGATCACCGTTCAGTGTGAGACCCAATGGCCTTATAAGGGCATTACTCGTACATTTACATAATCGATGGCTGGTATGTACATACATTTTTGATACCCATAAAGCTTTGGATCACCGTTCAGTGTTAGACAATAGACTGTACTTGCTGTAAGCTTGCTGAAACCAGTCGCTAGACATTTTAGTTTACCTAATCATTCTAAGCAACATATGGCAATCTGCGGTCTTTCCTTACACTTAGGTAGCACGGAAAGCCGTAAAAATCTTGAACAAAAGCTCATCTTTCAAACCGGCAGTCTAAATCCCACAGGGATCAACGAACGCTTTTCATTCCACTAATTTAATCGTGTTTTTCTCCTTGCCATGTTCCCACCAATCACGTAGCTCCATTTTCTGCCTTTAAAAGCACACACAACCCACAATTCCTCTATTCGCTCCGACGAAAGGCTAACGCTCGAAACGTCAGCCTTTGTAATCGTTACGGTGGCTAATTTACCATTTCAACTTTGTTGATATATCCAAATTATTTCGTTACTCCCACCGACGCAGCCCCAAAGAGTTTCTTTCGAAACTATCAGCCTTTATTCATTTGTACTTGCTGTAGTTAGAAGAAAAAATCCTAAGAATTCCTCGTCAAAAACTTTAAAAGATGACAGGACAAGAATACGTATCTGTGACATAAATTACGTTGGCTATACCTCTCCTTTTAGAGAGGATCTTCTGGATCGTCCCTTCGGTGCATGTTGTCATTGAAGGGTCGGGGGAAAGGATCAGATTGAGGAAGAGGCACCAATGTTGAAAGAATAAATCTAGAATCTGTAATAAAAATGAGGAAGATGCAAAATGTTATTCGTCTGCAACCTTCTTATTCTTCCAGATGTATCAACTAAAACGCAGACCAAAAATTAACCAAAGTCGATAGAGTTTCAGCAACAAATGATAGTTACTGAGTTTGAAATCAAGATCGTCATGTTTTAGTAAACAACTATCGACAGCACATTTGCTTGAGTTAAAAAGGAAAGAATGATTTTTAAAAAAAAAAAGAAGAGAAGGGAACTTCGGCCCACACCTCTATTTTGGGCAATCTACCTCAAAAACTCCAGATAATGCCACGAGATCAACGGGATTTGTAGAGTTGAGAGGTGTGGATGATGTAGATGACATCCATGCATGCGACATTCTGACAACTAATAGGCAATGAAGTCTGTAAACACTATTTTTATTATTAAAAGTGTTACATTGTACGAGAGTATGTCATTTCTCGAAGATTATTTGAAAAAATATCCGAACTATTCTCTCTCAAACATTAATGGTGCAGAATGCAGTTTTTTTTAGACACTAGCTACGGCACTCTTACATTGTACCTCAAAAAATTATCAGATGTCAATATTTGTTTGATCAGATTGTATTAAAATGTTAATCATTCTTGGTTACAAGCACGCAGCTTCATGTAAAAAAAATGTATCTTTTGCTCTCCCCCCCCTAAAAAAAACAGGAACCGATCGATCAGTGGTCTGTTTTTATTTGAGGAATCGGAGGATACCACTTATACTTTCCTAATGGTTTGTCGGGCTTTACGTCGTCATGGCAGCCAAAAGCCGCCGGGCCTCCAGCTTTCTTTCCTTTTTTGGTTTTCCACAGTGGGTTGCAGGGCATGGCGATAACAGAAACATGTAGATCTTTTTGCACCATTTCTGTTGTGATGGCGCTGCCGTCCTCCTTTACCAAAGAAATCAGATCGGGAACAGCGGCAAGATATGTTTTGTCACCCTTGACGTCACAAACGTAGGCCAAGTAGTTTTCATTTTTGACTGCAATGTAAAGCTTTTCGTTTAAGTCAGCTTCGGGCCTCGACCCCTCAATTATTATGGTTCCTTCACAAAAACCGCCTCCGCCGCCGTTTGTAACCTCGACAATCTGAAACAGATATTGTGAAAATCAGTTCCTATCCTAGAAACCATGACTTTTTCATGATAGAATGGACTAAATTACAGATAAGGGTTAGCTTCACCAACATTTCAAAGTTCTCGACGAGGAAAATTTGGAAAACTGACTTGAAAAAAAAAACAGAATCACTGAATTTCAAACCGAAGAAACACTAGTTGAAAAGGTTGTAAAGTAGGGGAGCAATAGTCACCACGAGAAAGATAATTAATAATGATAATAATAACAATAATAATGATAATTTTATAACCGTGTAAAGATAAATTTTCAAACCTCTCCTTGGAATATAATTTTGCCATTCTCGTGTTCAATGATGCTTTCCACAGGATCTTGTTTCTTTTTTCTTGCTTCAAGTACAGTGTTGCCCAATTTCCTTAGACGACTGAGAGAATATAAGGGACATGTAGCTTCACTCACGAACGTCCAGTTTATAGTAAACGCAATACCAGCCATTTCTCTGAAAAAAAAAAAAAGAAAAATCAGATAGTGATAGATAGTAGATCAATTGGTTTTTGCCGAAGAATTCAGTTTAGACGCAGTGTTGGCGGCCTGATTGCAGGTTTTTGTAGTAGATCAAACTGATACTAGTACAGCTGTAGCATGTTATCTTCGAGAATCCACAAGTTGATACCATTCTCGATGCATTTATTTTTGTGAAGAAAGGCTTTCGAGGTGGAGAAGGATCTAGCTAAGGCTTTTTTGGCCAAGGCTTGACTTAAAAAGACTATCGAGTGGATCTAGAAGGATTTCGAGAAGGGAGAGAAGGATTGGAGGGAGGAATGGCAACGAGAGTGCAAGCTCCTCTCCTCTCCCCCACCTACTTGTAAAAGAGAAATCATAACTAATGATGTCAAAAAAACAAGAACACTTGTGTTGTTAATGATTTAGTGCAGATTTTCTGGTAAACGTTTTTGCGAATAACAATAAGCCTTCTATTAAAAGCTGTGATACTAATTTACTATGATTACTAATCTACAAAAATAAAATCTGTGTGCAAGCAAAGAAAGACGATCGGTTAACAGAAAAAAAAAATGATGGAAAGGCAATGGACTTACCCCATCTCCCCAATTGCCTTTCTATAATGCTCCTCCATTTCTTTAGGGCAATTGGCACAAAACGATTGGGTGTTACCTTTTTCATCCCCAATAGCTGAGAAGGATGTTGGGCTGCCATAAACATAGGGTAGGAACATCTCCAGTACAGGATTGGCCCGCCCCATACCGTCTGCGTCTACAATGCGGATTTTTTTATCTCCAGCAACGGCCAAAGGTTCTGTAGTGCTTATGCCACCCATTTCAATACACAGGAGGGCTACAGGTTCAGTACGAGACGATGGCTGTCGATGAAAACAACACACATTCCATTACACTGGAACCGAAGAGTATACTGGCGCTCCATTTTTTTCAGTTCGCGAGAAGAGTGCTATTATTGTTGTAAGAGTAACTCCCACTAGTCAGTCTGGGAGACCCCATATCCAGAATACAAAAAGTAAAATGTCAAGTTAATCTTTGGAAACTTTCATTGCCTTTTTTAAATGTCAAATTTTTAATTGCGGGCAATGGTTTAAGCACCAGCGCGCACTACAAATCTACAGACTCACCTAGTTACTTGTTGTAACTGTTGTCATCTTTGTTTGTATCACGTGCCAAGAATTCCATACCTTTTCCTCCCTTTAATTCGTCGTTTTTGGAGTGACGCCGAGACAATGACCAAGTTTTTAGAAAAAAGTGGCTATCCTGTTTCTGTCGTTCAAGCGAGCGTAACATCTCAGAAGGAAAATTCTGATCTTGTTCCACTTACTCTCACAATTCGCCCTCACAATCACGCAGTTGAATCAATGATTCTTAAAAAATTCAAATTACTCTAACGAACGCGTTTCATTCTACTAATTTATTCTTGCTTTTCTCTTTACCCATTCCATTTTCTGCACATAAACAACGCAAAACCAACAGTTCCTCCTCTGACGAAGAGTTAACGCTGGGACTTTTAATGGTGGCAATATACGTTATCAACTCAGTAGGTAAAACCAAATTTTCTTGTCCAACAGAATCGATTGGCTTCATTTTTGCTAAACGATTACCTTGATCTTCTAAAATGACACACTTAAAGGCGTCGTCAATGAAACGTTTCACTATGTTTCTGATACATCACACCGACTGTATCCTCGAGACTACCTATCAGGAAATATGTTAGATAGCTGACTACTACCCTCCATTGCCTCTACCTCATCTTCGGGGCAATGGCCTTCCTCCATTTTCTTCAGCGCTGATGCGCTCTCCAGGCCACTGATTAGTCTCTCGCAGACCATCATTGGGTTTCCCATTAGAGCTACCACTGCAACGGGACCAGTCAGTTCGGGTTCTGTGCCTAATCTGAAAAGAATAAGGGGAGTTTTTTTTTTGTCGTCGTCGATTTCGTCGTTATTGTTGATTGTAAACGGGTGTAAAGTCTCACCTACATCCTCATCATTACCATCAATAACATCTACTACAATTATTTAATCAAGATCTGTGATCTAAAGAGTTATCTCATTGTAATAAATGCATCACAGCCATTGAAAATATGTCATTTACACATAATCAGTAAGTTTATCAGGGGAATTCACACTAATAAAACCCTTCTCAAACTTTCCGTGCTCCTGACATTGGTATATTGTTAATTTCCACTCACTTGCCAGGGTGAACAACGCGAATCTCCCCATTCCTTTCCAAAGATGCCATGGCTCTCAATTTCCCAATGTTTGTATTGCCTCCTCCACCGCACGCCATAATCCCGGCTCCAAGAGTGATACATTCAATATCGTATTTTTTCAAGATCCAGTCTCCAGTTACTGGGTCTATGAACGGCTCAGTTTGCAGGATTGTTTCTTCAACGTCTGATTTGGCGAGTTGTAACAATATAGATGCTTTTTGAAGAGGTGAGGGCTCTCTGGTATATTGTTCTGTTTTAAAGAAAGAAAGAAAGTACTTTTATTTTTGAGGGTATCAAAAAGAAAGTCGCGGAACTTGACCTTTTTTTTTTGGAAGTTTTCTTTAGTTCCGGTAGATCCTGACGGATAGTTTTAATCCGTACATCAAATAGCCTTGTATAGTTAAAATGATCTTAAAGTAACCTTACAAACCTCCTGCTATGAAAAGCTATGAGAGGATTGAAGTCAGTGACACCCCTGTTTTTGTTTTCACTTGGGAAACTGTCTGAAATCTGCTCAATATCGTTGTAAATCCCAACCAGAAGCAAAAAAACACAAGAGAAAGAAAACACCAATTAAATCGGATTTTCGATGCAACTCAACAATTCAAAGAGATGGGGAACAATGTTTATCATTCTGAAGGCATTCAAAGTCAACGTCTTTAGTTCTCTAGTACAATTGAAACGGCATGCCTGTCGTGAGACCCATAGAGCGAAATGAAAACGGGGAAGGATCGTGAGTCACTCCATCGACCTACCGGATAAAATGAAAGGAAAAATATCTTCTCTTGAAAACAGCGAAAAACGAATCAAATCTACTTCAAGGGTGCGCTTGAATGTTCAACCACATTGAAAAGTCTTCAACTTTGGATGGGGGTTCTAACCGGGTTAACACCCATCCTGTCAAAGGCGTATAATGTAACATTAAACCGTCAACAAAAAATAAACAGCCGTCAACTACCAAAGCTACCCACCCCCTTTTTTGCTGAGATTTTCCTAAAGGTAATTAAAAATATTACGGAGTTCAAGTGAAGATTCAAGAGATCGAGCACATGGGCGGATCTAGGAATTTTTGATTGGGAGGGTCCAAACTTTGGTTCAGAAAGGACTGTTGGACTCTTTTGAGGCAGATTACCTCTCTCCCACATCCCCCACACCCCTCTCACCAGTCGCGGTTGCACGTTATAATGCCTTGGCCGCTTAGTGTTTACTTGGATTCAATTAAAAAATCAGCCTGTTAAAAATTGATATACGATCCTGTCGATGTAAGAACTTCAGTCTCAAAGTTGTAAGCGTCAGGTCTGATAGGGGGGCTCCGGACCCCCGGACCCTCCCCCTGGATCCGCCACTGGATTAGGATTTAAGTGTAAAAGTTTCTTCGTCAGCTTTGGGCTGGACATCTCGTCTGAGTGTAGCTGACTCGGCTTTCACGCCTTTATTTGAGGAATTTTGTTTTTCATGACAACTATTCCGTTTCACTTACCCAATACAGCAACAGCAGCACCGACTGCATTTGCAACCTGCAATCAGCCAAAGCATCTTTAAAGAGAACAATCTTTGAGGTCGATATAAATTTGCATTCTGTGGCTGATGACCGTTCTTTAGATTAGGTAAATGTACTACAGTTACTAAATGACCCATTTGGCTTCGGTAACCAACCTCGAAGAGGGCGTGCACTAATTCACCAACCGTGAGATAGGAAGCCATCTTTAATGTGAGCTGTGAATTATGACTGATCCCAAGCATTGACGGCGTTAAATTACTCCACTCTTATTTGCCAATTAGCTATCAGACTCAAGAGTGTCAATCACTCTCACTGGAATTAAGCTAAAATTACCTGGAAATGTCGAGGAATGATGACTTTAGAGGCTCCTTTAAATTGAATTGGATTATCTGGGTTCAAAAGATTTGCGCCTCCACCTACAACGATGACCGGTTGGGCTTCATCACTTGGCTGTTCGGGAGATAAAATAAGGCAACAAGAGTGTATGACAATCAACGGTCCTTTCTTTGCCAATTACTTATATGAACAGCATATGCATCTTCAAATGTCTTGATTGATACACCTTGCTTGCAATATAAGATCGATTTCGTTGTTCGTTTAGTTCAGAATTTAAATAGAACATTCTTTCCAGCGTCACTGCCCCACAAATTGTTGAAAATAGCAAGGACAAAATTAAGCTGGGTATCGTTCCCTCATTAGCATTGTGCAAGCTATTCAATTTAATTCGGGCAAATAGATACACTGAAACTCCAAACGAGAACAGCAGCCATGACCGGTTCAAAGCAATAAGAACTATAGGCATGCTGAGAAGTCCAAACAACTTTATAAAACTTTTGAGTTTTTTATTTTATTCATTTTATCAATTCGAAACATACTTTAGCTTGATCAATTGCTGCTTGAATTTTTTTCTTGACATCCTCCAATTCTCCTTCTTGAAATTTTTGTGAAAGGTGTTTCATTTTTTCCTTATCACCAATATCACTGAAACCAGACGCAACAGCAATGTCGGTCGCTGTAGTGGCTTTTCCACCAAACACGAGTGCTTTGGTTGTCAACGTTTGGCTAACGGTTTTTCCTTCCTAGAAAAAAAATTTGATCAAGTTGCTGTGTAAATGTATAACGCACCGATTCAATTTCCTGACAAGCCTTTTCAAATGAATTTAAGATATGAATAACCAATCTCAGAAAACGATGGGAAAGCGTTTAAATACCCCACTTCTCTACTGAAATTAGCAAGGAATTTTGCGCTTTCTCACCTCAGAATGTATGTAGAAAGAAATGAAATTATTTGCATATTAAGCCTTTTCAATTATAGCCTCTCTTGGAAAAATAACGAGTTGCGCAAGAAAAATGCTTAGACCTTTCCAGAAAGTCGTCGTTAGCTTCTGCTGTTAGTATATTTGACCTTCTTCATGGGATGATTAGCTCTGTGCGTAGGGAGTGAGCAAGGGAGGGCTGCACAGGGACTGGCACTAATAATAAAGGCCCCTCATTATCAGTGCAAGACCACTTGCAGACGTTAGAGGTTATAGGCTCTAGCAAAGAATACGCAGGGATGTTGTGCGAGTTTCCCAATGCCTTTTCCGTTCTTGTCGGCTTTTAGTCTTCAAAATACATCCTAAGGCATTATCTGACATTCGTATCGATCGCATAACGCCGCCCCAAGAATGAAAAAAATACACATGAAACCATTAAAGCGTTCTTTACGACAGACAATACAATCTGTTTCACTCAAAAGTCTATTGCTCAAATAGCCTGGTCTAAAGAACGTAAAAAGATAACTTTTGGATCGTTTATTGTCGCCATTTCGTCGTTCCGTTTTCCTCTTTCCGCTTTCCTTACGAGTTTTTTTTTCGTCTTCCACCGTGACCGAGTATTACCAACGCATATTTTGCGCATTTTGTTGCCCTAACATACTAAAATGGAGTAGTATTGGAACGATAAGTAGTGCTCTCATAAAAACACTCATAAAATTTCGGTTGAGCTTTTACGCGAAATTTAACATGAGTTGTTCTTAAGTGAAAAGATTATTTTTCTTATGATTACCAGCTAAATCGCGAGTTCCACGGCGGCGCTTTTATCAAAGTGAAGAAACTGTCAATTTATGGAGCCAAAGACCTTACAGTTAAATGGTTTAGGTCAGATCTTACAGGAAGGAACCAGTATGTTTGTGTAAATGATTGCTGCTCCTCTAGTCAATAGTTACTCCAAGGTGTTCCTCAAGGAACAATTTCAGGACCCATTCTTTTCCTTGTGTTTATAAATGATATGCCTTTGAACATACGGAACCCTACACTGGACATTTATGCTGACGATACGACCTTATCAAAAAGCGCTAGTTGGGAAAACATCTCAGCCATCAACCACGCCCTAAATCAGGATCTTAAACGCCTAGCTGAATGGTCGACACAGAATCAGATGTTCATAAATAATCAAAAAACCAAGTCCATGCTAGTATCAGGGAGGCGCCTATGAAACAAAGTTGCCTCTCTTTCAATTGATGTTAATTTGAATGGAAATTCCGTTGAGAATGTCACCGATTTCAAGCTTCCTGGCATAACATTAGATAAAGACGTTGCTTTTGATCGTCAGATAGAGGAGTTGAGCAAAAAACTTGTGAAACGGATAGGTCTCCTTCGTCATATAAGTCCTTATCTAAAACGGAATCAACGTGAAATTTATTACTCCACGATTATGAAACCTGTGTTCCTTTATAGCAGTTCGATATGGACCTCTTGTAAGAAGGAAAATCTTCAGATGCTTTTTCGTCTTCATAAACGTGCGGCTAGAATTATTTTAAATGCCGAAAAAACGGCGCCTTCTGGATTCCTTTCTATGCCGAGTCATATGTAAATCGTACATGGTAATGTCCAGAATATATAAATGCCTTACTAATCAAAAACTCTGACATCCATAATAAAAAAACCAGATTCTGTAATCTAAATTTAAGTTGTCCTCGCTACAAGAGATGTAAGGAAGGTGGCCGGACGTTCAACGTAAGAGCAATCCAAGAATGGAACAAGCTAAATGTAGATCTTAAAGGTAGTCCTAGCGTAAAACATTTTAAAGGATCACTCTATAAATCAATTTTTAAAAATCAATTTATTACTCAGTCTTTTATTAATATCTAGTAGTTTTATATCCTTTTTGTATAAATTATGTTTGCTAGATTGTAGGTCAGTTTTTGATTAATTTTCTCTTGTATTTACTTCGAGGGCCATAAGGTTATCAGTTTAGTTACTGTCAAATGTCACCCTCTCCAATAAATTCTACTTACTTACTTACTAAAGTAGTCTCACTACAGTCTAAGAAAAAAGGTCAAAGCTTATTACTTAATATAAGAAAAAAAGGAAGTGATATGTCATGTGCGACCTCAACATTATTCCAAAAATTTCTATACGTTATGTATTTTTTTATGCTTAAATTTCACGGTAGAGTTACTTATAGCTCCATTTTTCTCGAAATCAAGAGTCCTTTTAGCTTTTATTTTAGGATAGCCCGTTTAAAATTTCTTTGTGCGAGAGAGGAATTTGTACGGTTTTGTTCTGTTCACGCTTTAAATGACGTGTATTTCTTCCCATTTACAGTGTGACACTTTACTCTAGTCAGGAATAAAAAAAATTAAATAAGATGGTTTGATATTTTATTGGTGTTCATGTGACAAATAGAAATTTAATTGGCCGCTTGGAGGATGAAATTTAACTCTATTCTCGCGTTGTAAAATATTCCACTCGGTAGCGATCCTTATTCAAGAATTGTTTTTTTCGACGCTCAAAAAAAGATTCGCATCTCTGCTCAGCCATTTAATATCCTCTACATATCTATATTTTACTTACTTTTGATTCTTGCACAATTGATCCTCCTCCAAGCTTTACAGTCTGAACACCAGTCATTGTGAGGTTAACAGGATTATTGAAAGAAAGATGGATAGATTATAGCTTTGGAGTTTTATCAATTTAACCTCGTATGTACGTGTTTCCTTGTTTAAAGACTTTTTTTTTAACCGTGACAACAACAACCTCTCCGTTGGACAACGGTTCTGAGTCTTCTAAACACTCATAGAGACCTGCAACTTTATATTACTGAAATGCCGAACTTCCTCCTTAAGCTTGAATATAAATGGGAGCCAAACAGGTGCCAATGTCTGTACGCGAGAAAGGTCCATCGGTTGATTGATAATATTAGCATGGTCCCTGATGGCAATAGAGTTATATTAAGGAGTGATCATGATGGCAATTACAAATGAAAGAGGCCATACAAAATACAAAAAAAATATTACCTTTCCTGATAAGTGTTTCGGGAATCCATCTTTTATTGACCCTACATGCATGTTTGTTCCTCCAATGTCAATCACGATCACGATACCATTCTGCACTCCTGTTAGAAAAGCTGCACCTCGCATGCTATTTGTTAGGCCTGATGTTAAGGTCAGCACTGGGAAGCGTCGTGTATCCTCGAAACTGAGAGACACAAAGAAAAACGATTGAGTTTGGATATTTTACAATAACCACCTGGCCCGTAAACTGCATTTTCTTTGTCAAAGAAGACTGCAGCGAACTGAACCTTTAATACCCGCAAAGGCAAGCTAACACATTAAGGACGTTGAGCCCCATCCAAGTTACTGGCTAAGGCCTGTAAGCGCAACACACGCAGGAAAGGTTTGGAAAATGCCTATAGATTCAGACGAGTTTTGATCGTCCCATTCGCGATTGGACTTTCTTGCATACCAAACAACATTAATATACCAAAATATAATATATAAAGAGAAGCAGGACAACTTTACTTATGTTAGAATAAAGGTGGAGGATATGAAAAATATCACACCTTATCAATTTGCCATCACCCCTTGTGAAATAAAAAGGGCACTTCAAGCCAAGCTCCATCAAGGCTGTAGACAATGTTTCCACTGTGTGTTCACAAAGTGGCCTCAGGCTCTCGTTCATGATAGATAGATGCTCGCGTTTTAGGAAGTCTTCCTCGTCACACACTTTGTGAGAAAGTGTTATTTTCATCTCTGGACTTGTAGACGAGATAACTCTATTCGCACGGTCTTCTTGATCGGTATACTTAGGAGAGTAGACTCCAACAATGGCTATATGCGTTATTCCTAAGGATCGAAAACTTGTATTTCATCTGACATGTACACTTGAAAAAGCATGAATGGGTGATGTCTCCATAAGTAAAAACTTGGAAAAACAAAACGAGTAAGTAACTAGTCTATGACCACTCAGACGTAATATTCAGATTGTTTTTATAAGAATGCTTTACAATACTCGTTCTTGTTGTTTTGTAACACTTGCATAAGATGACTTTAAACGTTTCTTACGTTTATATAACGACGACTTACATCCGTAAGCCCACATAATGTTCTTACTTTTACATGTGGCATATCACCTACCTTCAATGTACACTTCTTTCGTTTTCTGCGTTAATTGATCTTCATCAACATGTGTTATAGTAGTACCGTCAGTCTCACATCCTCCATTAAGGTAAAAGAACTTATGTAAGGCAGGTACGCATGGCGGTGGAATTGCGACAGTTGCAGGGTAACACAGCCTGAACAGAGCTACCTTTGAGAGGTTTTTTCCTTGTTTGACAGCATTCTCAAACAGGGTGGCGCCGATGCTGACTTTTTCAAAATTCTCACCACGATTGTGCGCATGTTCTTCTGGAAGCTGCCTCAGCACTAATTCAATGGCCTCAATGACGCCAGATGTGACATCTTGCCTGGTTGGAACTTCAGACGAGCAAAGCACCTCCTTTTCTTTTAGGATAACAGCAGTAGTATTTGTTTCACCCACATCTACTCCAATGGAAAGCGACATGGCGCAGAACTGTTTAGTATGACCACAAAAACAGAAAAAGGTAAAATGACTGTTTGCACGAATATTTAGTTTTGAAAGCAAATCGCAATCGATCAATCAATCATAAACCGAAACAATAAAACAACGACGTTCCATCAATCTAGTAAAATGTCGCGAAATACATAATCAAAAAATCATGTATAAAAACTGGGCTTTAACGCCAATAACAAGATTAAAATGGCAATGAACGATACAAATAAACCAGTATAAAAGTTTCGGTACAAAATTACAAGAATTTTAGTGGCTGTTTAACAACCCATTGTTCTTATCTAAATGGTGGGCGTTCACTTGCGTCTGATACAATTTTGGCTTTTAAATCTTAAATCAATTGAGAATACGGCAATGCAAGGGAATATCTGTTTGTCTGCTTTCCCCCAGAACTGAAAAACTAGACTAAGGAAAACAAAGTTACAAAGGTACTCACTTGTCGGCCTTGCTCGTGTCACAGGTTTTTATTTTCGAAAGGACGAAAGTTCACCAAGTCAACTCAAAAACTTACGAAGAACTGATTACAGGGAAGCTGAACTCGCCTTTTGTATGCGCGTGGTGACACTGAAAGGTCCATTTAAAAAACCAACAGAAATGTAGGCAAACAGCTAAGCATTGTAACTATGTTCGCATCTAGGATCGCCAAAATCTGTTCAAATAAACCTCACTCTATTTTTAGACGCTTTTAATTTCGCAATATACTTCGACCTCCCCAGAGGTATTGTACACCACAGAAAAACAAACCCATTAACTATACAACATGATGAAAGGTTTCTCAATAAAGCTTACATAATAGATGATTTTTTTTTCTGGGAACGAAATCTTTGTCAACTGAGAAAGGTGGCCTAGCTGATAACCCACTTTCTTATAAACATCTCATAACTATTGCAAGCAGTTTTTGATCAGCTGAGAACTAGTTTGTAATGCCTAGGGAGAGAGAAGTTACACATGCAAATTCTTGAAGATGTCAAGACAAAAGATTAAACGGAATGATACAGAAATAATGATCTACTGCATATCTCAAATAAACCATCAAATTGCAAAATCAAAGTAGTGAGAAAACAAGCAAAAACCCTTAATCGAACTCCTTTTAGTTCTCATTTTGCTAAATTATTTTGGAATTATTTCCACATTAAGCTTTCTTAGTTCATCGCAAATTGAATACAATCATGATATGAAGAAATGTCAGTTTCGTAACTCGGTTCTTGTCAAAGTGTATTTTTAAGAACCAATTATTGCTCTCGTTTTGTTCGGAGCACGTTTTTAGTGGTTTTAGATCATGTTTGAGAATGCTTCAGAATTGTTTTGAATTCCAAGCTGCTCACGCAGTCGCTCATGCTAGGCAATTTCAACCTTTTTTTTTTCGCTTTAGTTCCAAATAGCCGTGTTTGTGGGATCGGATGAAGCTATTTAGGTAATCTACATTCGATTTGCATCCTTTAGGACTCCTGTGAATATTTTCTATGCGATCCAATGTTAGAAGTACAACTGATATAGTAAAATTTTGTAGCTTTAAACAATAACAGACTGAGGTCATAAGGACGTTAGAAGGAAGTCCTAAAGATCACTGATACATATTCACACGCAAAATAGGAACATGCCGCATCACACGTATTTATGAGTACCCTGTTCCACTTGATGCTCAGGAGGATGATTTGAAAATAAAGGGACTTACTGATACTCAACCAATAATCATTGTAGTGTTAACTAATGGTAGTCGAACTGGGTGAAGTGTACTTTGGTCTGAATGAAATCGTTCGCGTGATTTCAAAATCAATCGAGTGCGTAGCGCGAGTTTGATTTGAAATATTGATCACTTGCTGTAAAAGCACATCCGGAATTCTAAAAGAACACACTTTCCCTCGCTGCTTTGCAAACATTAAAACCTTGATGACTTGTTACCTCAAGATATGATATTTTTACCCTGCTCACTTTGCAAATGTAGTGGATATGGAAGGCATAATTTTTTTTTATTCAAATTATAAAATGCTCCGCTCTTTTTAAACTTTGGGACAAGATGTTTTTTTCAAATGTGGCAATCGCACCGGTTAGCTTTTGCTGTGAGAAAAAGTTCGATTTTTATCCACAAAGAAAGGAATTGTAAAGAGATGATGAGATGTTCATTTTTTTCTCTATACTGTTAAGCCTGATCAGCAATGGATTTTAAAAGTGAATATCGTCTTCAGGATTTTCCCGAGAGCTTAAGTGCCCTCAGTTTAAAAATGAAAACGAGATCATTTTAGTTGTATTTTTATTTACCGGTTTTCCCACAGGTCTGGCTATACTCCTAGCAATGCTTTCTTAATGCCTCACACCAAGGAACGGTCGAGCCCTCGTTAAGTGGTCAATTGGCGTCGCCAAGACACAGCCGCATTGCATTGAATAACTTTTATCAGACATTTGTAGTGTCTCCGAACTTGAAATATATTGGTCTGGATTAGGTGGGTCGAACATGGTTACTAAAGTATGAATGGAAAGAATGATTTGACCGATTGCGGTGTATTTTATCTTCCACAACATGCAAGTTATAAAACCTATTTCTATTAGGTCGACGATTCACTGCTTTTATTCACGAATGTACGGGTTCCGTAAATATTGGTTACAGAGAATAATCTGCCGAACAAGTCTGAGATAGACTCGATGCAATTGCTGAAACGTAAATTAAATTCATTACGAAGCGGCCCACGGTTAGATTAGTCCATGATCACCAGTATGAGTCCTGAGGAACAGGGTAGATATTTTGAAACTACCCAGCGACAAAAAATAACCGATAACATTTAGCTGGTCATTCTTCGTTTTTATGGAGCCTCACGAATGACGGCAAAGTAGCTAAAAACTAAACCTTTACCGTTGTTTTCCAGCTGCTACTTTCTGAGGAATGTCAGTGGACGCCTTCTGAGAGGGTTTTTGGACAAAACTGTGTTTGCGTGGATATCCGGTCAATTCACCACCACAACAAACTCGCCACCACAAAACTCGCCACCAATCAAAGTGAAATCAACATCGGTGGCGATTTGACTTAAACGTTATGTGTAGCCTCTCTATGATATTTAAATGAAATACATGCTAAGAGGTAGTAGTAGACTGCGAAAAGGGAGAGGGACTCAGATGTTAGATGGAGCGTCTCAATAATGGAACGTTAAACGAAATAAAACATGTTGATATCACAAAAATTAAGATCAGTTCGCGAACAGCGAAACCAGAGTGATATTCGCCGAGTGATGTAAGTGATTTCCGCCGACAGAAATGAAATCGTATGAAACTTACATCATATAAATGCTAAGAAGTCGAAGTACATTGCGAAATTAAAAGCGCGTAGAAATGTAGCGGAGTTTACTGAAACAGACTTTGACTTCCTTTCTTTGTTTGGTAAACAATTTGTTTCAAGCACAAAGAATGTCGACATGAGCTTTAACACGAGTTTCGTTCTTATGAATATGATTTGCAATCAATTCTAATGAAGCTTATAACCCACGAAAGGTTGGTTCTTGAGGTTTATTTATCTTCTAGTTTTTATGATGCGAAATTAAGAGTGCTTGAAAACACGGAAAAACTGTAGAAAGCGACTTGGCTTCCTCTAGAAGTTCCTCAGCGATGTTCCCTATGACGGCTGCATTCGTTGATTCATTAAAACAAAGTGTTTACCAAAGAAAAGAAAAGACGTCAAAGTCTGTTTGAGTGAACTTCGCTGTATTTGTACACGCTTTTATTTCACAGTATACTTCGACCTCCCCAGAGGAATTGAATACCAAAGAATAACAAACCCATTAACAATACAACATAATTAAAGCTTTCTCAAGAAAACTTAAATATATTTTTTTTTTCCTGGGAACGAAGTCTTAGTCAACTAAGAAAGGTGGCCCAACTGATAACTCACTTTCTTACAAACATCTCATAACTATTGCAAGCAGTTTTTGATCAGCTGAGAACTGGTTTGTCATGCCTTGGGAGAGAGAAGTTATATAAGCAATAGCTTGAAGATGTTAAGACAAAGGATTAAATGGGATAATGAAGAAATGATAATCTACTGTATATCCCAAATAAAACATCAAATTACAAGGCTAATTACAAGATCAAAGCAGTGATATGATAAGGAAAAACCTTTTAATCGTACTCCTTTTACTTCTCATTTTGCTGAATTATTATTAAGTCAATTTTATTTCAAAGAGCACCGCAAGTGTTTTGATACCTACAAAAACAGTTTACATCTCATCCAATCTTAACTCATTAAGGTTACCGTACACCTTCAGGGGTGTCTCGCGTGCAAGCGATGTAGCGCGTCCGGTTTAAACTGTAGATATCTAAACCCCATATCAAATGAAAGCTTATAGGACTGGCTATCAGACAACACCAAAAATTTTGAAAAAAGTTGAATTGTAGAATTTTTCACGACTTCTAAATGCGAGCGCCCGGATCACCTTTTAAGAGCTACAAGTCAAAGCGAAATTGTTCGATTGCTCTCAAATTTTGACCAATTTCCCTGTGACTTGTAGCTCTTAAAAGGTGATTCCGGCGCTCGCATTTAGAAGTCGTGAAAAATTCGACAATTCATTTTTTTTCAAAGTTTTTGGTATAGTCTAACAGCCAGTCCCATGCAAAGAAATAGATATAATATTCACCAACCTAAACAAAAACAATCAAATCTAATCAGCATTTCTGGTTCAGAAACACCGAGGGGGAGGGGTAATCCTCTGATGATAATATCCTGATACCTTGGGTGCCCTGTGGTACTATAAACAGATCGTTTTCGATGTGTAAAGACCCCCTGTAAAGCATTTTATTTTATCTATTCAATCGACTGATCATCCAAACAAGTGGCCAGCGTGAGTAGTGAAGAATCTCTGAGTAGTTTCCAGTCGCAGCCGTCATTCTAAAATGCTGCATACGGTTGGGTGTATAAAGTCAGCGAACAGCCGGTAGTTTCACCAGGCTTGGCAAGCGTACTTTTACTAGCACTCTAAATTGTATTTATTTCATCAGGTACATTTTATAAACCTGATATTGTGTATTCGAAAATAATATTAGCCCAGAATGTCTTCACCAGAATCAGTGGCATGTTTAACCAGATGTCAACAGATCACGGTCATAGTACCCATTTGTCATTCGCCCTTCGTCGTGAGCGAAATGCCGATACAAAATATCTGTTTCGCATGGCTATACGTACGTAACTTCACACAGATTTTATCACTTCTATATACTCCTAAACAAATAAGCTTTATGGAAATGGAGTAATTCTGAGCAGAAACATGGCCGCATCTGAGATATTTTAAGCGATTTTCACTAGAAATTGGAATCGTGAAAAATCTCCAATTTTGAAGGTTTTCTTGAAACATTAATATTTTCGAACATAGTCACCACACCCTCTTCAAATTTAGTTGACTCGAATAAGTATACTATTCATTTGAAATTGGCAAAGATTCTTTATTTTATCTACACCCAATAGTCTCTGAGCAAGTTGTAAACTTCATGGACGAATTTACCATGATTTTGCTTAATTTGTGTGTC